ACATAATCACTTTGGGCATGTGACAATAGATGATGCTGGAAATGCAAAAATGACAGGGTGAAGGTGGTATTGAGACACTCAGTGCATGGTTCATCGTGGCTAGACCGTGTCCCAAAATGACAGGTAGTAGGTGATTTTTTCGGATGGCGAAGGTGACATTAGCACAGAGGCAAAAATAAATATGAAAAGGTTCCAGTCGAATGGCTGCAAAAAAATCACGTGGCCACGTGACATAAGCAGACGGAGCCATGTCCTAATGTGACACGAGCAAGCCAACCAATAGGACCTGACTTTCTTTTCCGATGTATGCGGAGACAACCACCAAGTCTTTAGAGAACTGGCTATGTGACGCATCGGCAGCCTCATTCTGCCGGGTGTTCCAGGGGGTGCTTTTTTCAAAACAAAAAAGGATGTCCGAAAGTCTACCGGTACCAGTCGAAAACCTGTTCTCACTTTTCACCCTTCAGAACAACTACATCCCCAATGGCATCAACCAAACAGAAAGAAAAAGGTTCCCCAAAAATCCAGGGACATGGGCTAATATTTTATTATTTGACCATTCAACATGCTGAGTGGCTGGTTTCCTTAATGACTTCTAGTATGGTACCGATAGATTGACAATTTTAGAAAACGGGCATGGTGAAGTCAAGCCCAAATTGACTACATCTTGAAAATGCGTCTGTGCCTTGTCCACTACGTAGACTCACGTAAAATGGTACCTATACAGAAATGTACTGATTTAGCCCATTCACTTTTCCAAAACTCATTCCACTATCTCTGTACGATGGCGAAGTCAAACAAGAGGCGTATGCAAGAAGCCAAAAGGGCCAGAAAGCCAATTGTTGTAGAGTTGGCAAAATGGCTCATTGATCTCCAGGCCAAAAATAGTTTTATGATTGAAGGTGATTTTTGAGATGTAGTCAAAAAAATTCACGTAGCTCTAGTACTTTTTTTGCGTGGCACGGATATTTGTGGCCTTTTGCCAAAAATGGACCAAAACCCACCTAACTAACTAACCAAGCAAACCAATCTTGGAATTATGCACCTACCAGCATTCTGACTGCATGAGCAGGTAGATTGGACATTTCTACTTAAGGATATGAGGCTGCAGAACTACCACAAGTGGGGTTGTGAAGTCAAAATTGTGGTCGGAAATTAAGGAGATGCAGTCGTTCTGAGGGGTGTGAACCGGTTTTCGACTGGTACCAGTACGCAACAGACCCCTTTCATACCTACAAATGACAGAAGAGACGGACGAATCATAGACGATGGCTGTAGAGCGGGACAGCTAGGGTGAATTGGGGAAAAGGCAGGATCTCGATTGGTCGAGAAGGTCGCATTGAGGAAAATAATTAGGGATATCAAAGAAAAGACATAGTACTTCATATGTAGATCTCACAACCAAACGCGTAGAAACTTAGACATTCGTGACAGGATTCAAAACATCATGAAACTTGGTAAACTATGAAAAACTCTAAGTTCCAATGACAACATCAAGCAACCAACACTCACAGCATGACAAAGGAGGGGGAACATCCGTTTGCAAAACAAAAACTAACGGATGCGTTGAACGCATCCGTCACCTCTCCCACAGGTGCACTACAATGTCATGATGATGAAGCACAAAATGCTCAGAAGCCAAAAGCAATGGGTGTTCAAAGTCATGTACGAATTCCACCAACAAAGAAGACTAAAACTTGGTTGTCTCCGGCCAAGAGGAGAAAGAAAGTGAACCCAAGGATTGCCCATTTCAAACAAAATCAGCGGGCTGTTGATGACATAAGCAAAAAGGCATTCAATCCTTTGGATGACTGTGTGATCTGCCATGCAAAAGAAATCGATCTACGTGTTCCACATCGACCCCATGACGTCCGTTGCCCAGGGCTTTTGAAAAATAGTCAAGGAGAAAGGAAGTATGAAAAAGATCTTAGGAACTACTTCAATGCCCCAATGGAAAATCCAGAGAAGGAAGAAGAGCTTACTGGAGGTGGGACCCCAAGTGTGCAATTGTACTATTCTGGGCCGACTATGACAAGAAGAAGGAAGGCTCTCGCTGCTGGAAAACTTCCTGCACAGGCTCAAGCCACCACAGTTCAAAAATGGGAAAGCATCTGAAGAAATTCTGGCTCCAAATAGCTCACCACTAGAGGTTGCGAAGTTCTTGGAACGCCGTGTTGCAACAAGGCTTCAAGGAAAAGAGGCACCTTCAGAGCATAAGGCTCCTCCTGCCATGTTGGCGCTGACACAGGAGATCATGGAGCAGGTGGTGAATTCAAAACCTACTTGTCTATCTGAGTCCCTACCTGACACGCCTAAATTCAACCTAGCACGTGATAGGTTCCATGCAATCTTTGGAAAGAACAATTTTGTTTACACCATTCCAAATATCTACAACTCTGAAAGTCCCATTGATCCGAACTTCCACTCCCTTGCGGGGTCCCAGTTCATCTACATGGACTTGGAACTTGCATTTCCAGACTTTCATATCCTATGTTGCAACTGCAAATCCAAGGATCTTACTCGGAAATGTGACTGTTACAGTCAAAACAAGACTCTTCTTCGAATTGTTACTGACTCAAATGAGACCTGGTGTCGCCCTTTCAAATACAAATGCAACAGATGCAAGCATGAATTTGAGACTAATGAGGGACCATT